AGGGTTCATAAAACCCTTCACCTGTGTTCAGTGGTAAAATAGAGCTGCTGAGAGCTTATCATTGGGACTGGGGAGATGTCTCAGTCAATACAGTGCATGTTAAGCAAGCATGAAGACCTGAGTTCAGATCCCCAGCACCCACATAAAAAGCCAAGTATGGTGGCATGTGCCTGAAATCCCAGCACCAGGGAGGTAGAAACAAGAAAATCCCCAGAGCTCGCTGGCCAACGAGTCTATACAAATCGGTGCACTCCAGGTTTAGTGAGAAAGCCTGTCTCTGGTAATAAAGTGGAGTGGCCGGCATGATGTATCACAGGTAAAGACACATACTGCCAAACCTGGCATTCGATCCTCAGTTTGACCTCCAGAACCCACAGGTAGTAGGAGAAAACTGACTCTCCTGCAAGTTGCCTTCTGATATCCATACATGTGTACATGCATGCACATGCAGATAGATGATTGATTGATAGATAGATAGATAGATACATACATACATACATACATATATAGATGATAGATATATAGATACATAGATGATAGATACATAGGTAGATGATACATAGATGATAGACAGATTACTGCCAAACCTGGCATTCGATCCTCAGTTTGACCTCCAGAACCCACAGGTAGTAGGAGAAAACTGACTCTCCTGCAAGTTGCCTTCTGATATCCATACATGTGTATATGCACGCACATGCAGATAGATGATTGAAAGATAGATAGATAGATACATACATACATACATACATACATACATAGATGATAGATATATAGATACATAGGTAGATGATACATAGATGATAGATAGATGATAGATACATAGATTATACATGGATGATAGATAGATAGATAGATGGATAGATAGATAGATAGATGATAGATAGATAGATAGATGATAGACAAATGTAAGATATAAGGGGAAGAACACTGGAGGAAGACACCCAACATTGGCCTTTGGCTTCTACATGTGTACATAGACATGCACACACACACACACACACACACAAGCTTACAATTAATTTTTTTATATATTTAAAGTTCACAATTTAAGTCCAGTATTCTACCTTAAAGAATGTGTCAAAGGTTTTTCAGCTTCCTGAAAGCAGATAGTCACGCTGAGGTTTTCCCTTTACATGCTGACATGCTAGGCTGGGCAGGTATTGTGTAGAGCTTGTCCTAGGCACCGTAGGATGCTTAATGGTACCCAGTTTCCCCAACTGGAAAAACCAAAAATGTCTGCAGACATCGCTTAATGTTTCCTAAGTAAAAGCATCAACAAACACCTAAGCTTTGTGTTTCTTCTTCCCCTGGTCCAATGGGTTAGTCTGACTTTTATTCTCCCCACCCTGCAAATTATCCCTGTGTGCCAGAGCAGGCTAAGGAGCATGTTCACAGCATTGATGGGGACTGATAGGCTTTGCTTCATCTTCATAAAACTCAGCCTGAGGCATGATCCGTGGTAAGCCTGGGTACTCAGCTCACAGGTTCAGGGGATGGAGCTTGGCCTGGGCTTCCTGATCTTTTTTGCTCTTATTTTGTTAAGATTACATAGTCATTAGAAACCCCAGAGCATGCTGGGCGTATCATAGCTATACTTAGGCACAATCACACTTTCTCCCTGTGTTTGCTCCAAAGAGGATGGCGGATTTTCCAGGGTACAGTCTGTCTGGTGTGGTTGCCTCCTTCTTCTTCACCCTGCTGACCGTGAAGCAGTCAGGTAGGACTTCTTTCTCTGGTTACCATGTACTGTAATGCCCTGCTGATCTAGTTCAGATGCACAGTCCCAAACTTAAAAGGACCGTGCAATACTCAACAGAGTAGTGCTCTAGGAGCCCAAGAACCCAGATTTCAACACTTTCCACTTCCAGATCTGGAAAGTTTCTTACCTCGGTTTCTCCATTTTTAGGGAGAGAACCACAGTACCTCTGCTGTGTAGTCTAGCACAGGCCTTAGGAGTCAATGAAACCCACCCAGAAGCACTTACGTCAGTGGCTGGAGTACATTCAGTGATTCACCTGTTCTCTCCTTTCTGAGCAGCACAGAGCTCTGGGAGCGAGAAAAGAAGCTGCTTCTTAACCAATACTAAATACCTAAAACAAGGAGATCTCCACAGCATGGGCTTGGAAATTTTAGTAGCTGAATTTTATCAGTCAAGATACTGTACCTTAAAAAAAGAATTATGAAAATTCAGTGTGTGGGGCTGGAAATATCAGAGCTCTAAGGAAAATGCAGTCCACCAACACAGGGGAAAATAAATTAGGACAAAACAAAAACATGAAGCGTGGGAGGAACAACCTGAGCTCCAGTGCTGCAGACTGTGTGTGTGAGTCCCTCTCTGCAGTCTCCTGACATGTAAAATAAGTCAGCCAGAGGGCATGACTTCATACTTAGACTCCACAGTGGATGGTACAAGACCAGTTGTTTAAAAAGGCTTTTTGAGCGGTGTCTATTTTATTTTACTTTGTACATTTATTTATTTATTTATTTATTTATTTATTGGCTTTTTGAGACAGGTTTCATATAGGCTGACTTCTAACTCACTATGTAGCCAAAGATAATCTTTAACTCCTGGTCTTCCTGCCTCTGCCCCTCCAATGCTGGGATTTTAGGTGTATACCACCAAGCCTGTCCAGCATCTCTTTTACACTGAGCAGCAACTAAACAGGGTGAGTTTCTAGCTCAAGAGAACTGAAGTCTTCACAAAAAGGAGTAGGAGGCTCTGGAGCTCTCAGGGTGAGAATAAACACGGTATTTGTGACATATGAAACTGTTAAGCATAGTAATGCAGGAAATTGTTGAGCAGCTCTTTGATTTTTTTCAGATAAGGAGGTGACCTAAAATTTGATTGGAAGACTCTGACTTTCTAGGCAAACCATTGCCTTTAACACTTTCACCCTTGAGCAATGGCATTGTACACTGTGCCAGTTACTGGACTTTTGCCTTCTCCAGAAATAAGGGATAAAATAAGTCAGTTCCTTACCTAAGGTGAATGAGTCTGAAAAGCTGAATAACCTAGTAAAACCATTTCTCACCTAAATTCAAGGAAAGCAACTAAAATATTAATCACTGGCCAGTTATAACATTCCCAACTAAATATCAATTTACATATTAACTTCTTTGAGAATGAAAACAACCCAGGGGTGGTGCTTTTAGTGTCTTCAAGATGGGTGATTTAAGACTCCAAATCTCAAAGGCTCACTAATCACAGATTTGTCCTGAAACCACAAGACCAGTAAGTGATAGACTCAGTGGTCATGCTCAAGCATTGGAACTTTTATTTAGAGTAGTACAGTTTCCTTTTTAACCAGAAAATGTGCAAATTTCCCTGCTTAGGTTCTCTAAAACATTGAAACTAAAGCTCTCAGCTCTGGTGTCTCCATCCTGACATCGGCCACTCTCGGCATCCTGGTCCTCTGACTGGTATTTCTCGTATCTTTTTTTTCACTCTTTTGTAGATGACTTTAGAGTGGTCGGTCCTGCCTTTCCTGTCCTGGCCAAGGTAGGGGAAGATGCCTTGCTAACGTGTCAGCTCCTCCCCAAGAGGACCGCGATGCACATGGAGGTGAGGTGGTACCGCTCGGAGCCTGACACACCTGTGAGTGTGCGCTGGGATGGAGCTGAGGTGACGGAGCCGCAGATGGAGGAGTACAGAGGTCGGACAGAGTGGATAGAGGACAGCATGGCTGAGGGGAAGGTGACTCTGAAGATACGCAGGGTCCAACCGTCCGACGATGGGCAGTACCGGTGCCGCTTCCGGGAGGAAAACTACTGGGGAGAGACAAGTGCGCTGCTCCAAGTCGCAGGTGAGTTTCTTGAGAAGACGTGGTGACCCAGACGGGACAGTCCACTGATATGTGAAAAGCGTATTGTCATTTGAAAAACACCCTTTTAATCATCAAGAAAATTCCTCATGCCCAGTCCTCTACGTGGGGTCATTTGAAAACTGGAGCTCTGGAACCTCCAAAGCAAGATCAATTATAAAATATTCCCTTAAGGTTAACTTGCATGATTCTGAGGTTTATTTGAAAATCATGGCATGCAGTCATTAGCAATTTTGCTGAGACACAAATCTGTCCCACAAGGTGGGTGAGCAAGAGATTGGGTAAAAGAGTCAGATTGGCTGTCGGATCTCAGGATAGCTTGCCTCTACCAAGCTCGACTGTGAGGTAACAAAGATGTGGAACTTTAGGTAACACATTATAGGAATGTACAAAATCTTCAAATAAAAATAAAATTCCTTTTGGTAATTTCGAAGAAGTGGGACAGTTGGATCGTATGGTAGTTCTATTTTTTATACAAATTTCCATATTACAATGACTACAATTGTTCCTGTTATTATGTTCAAGATGATTTAAAATGCATGAAAGAATCCACGTATTTCTGAGATTTAGGTAGAGACAGATGTAGGCTGATTCATTTTACTGCCAGCACATTTAAATTTAAACCAGACATTTTCTCTGACTCCAAATGAACAATTGTCTCTATCCTCGCCATGTAATATGGACAGAATTCTCACCTACGGAAAACCTAGTCCTTTTTAGTTTGGGAGTTGTGCTGTTAAATAAAGAGTATTTCTTGGTCTGTATAAATTGGTCTAAACTAGGTATTGTCCATTGAACAAAGTGTTTAGGTGCGACAATTCCTCACCCACTTTACCACATACCAAGATTGCAGCCGCCCACCAAAGAAACGGGACGAACGGCCAACGAAGGTGACGTCTGAGTCTATAACAAATATCTTATTCAAACTGGAGTTTGGACATCATAAAGCGGCAGAAAGGTGCCCACTACAGGGCACGTTGAGAGGAAAAGGCAGAGTTGAGGGCAGAGATGAGCTCATGAATAAATTACAACCATCTTTGCAGCACCAGAGACAGAAACAAAAGCTTAGCCTTCCCTTGTCTCTCATTTCCCTGTTTGGATATGAAGAAAGTGATGCTCAGACGTCAGACTTCAAAGACGCAGACTGCGGAACAAAGAAAACGTATGAAAACGCCAGTTCTCATGGGAATACAACTTTGGAACGCGTTTTCTGCTTCCCAGGCCCTGAACTCTCACCTTCTCTCTTTAGATGCTGTCTCCGGTATCTGATTCCATGGTTCCAGCCTCTGTGGGCTCTGGGCCTCACCACTGTGCTCTCTCACTCTGCAGCCCTGGGGTCTTCCCCGAACATCCACATGGAGGGGACTGGAGAAGGAGGAGGAGTCCGGCTCGTGTGCACGTCCCAGGGCTGGTTCCCAAAGCCTCAGGTCTATTGGGGGGATATCTGGGGAAAGAGGTTGCTGACTTTCTCTGAGAATCACATCCCAGGTGAAGATGGGACGTTCTATGTGGAAGACACGCTGATGGTCAGGAATGACTCCGTAGAGACCGTTTCCTGTTTCATCTACAACCATCTCCTTGGAGAGGCCAAGGAAGCCACCGCAGCCTTCCCAGGTCAGAGCTCTGCCTCCACGACCATGGACGGTTCCAGGGGTTTGCACAGCACCTCATTTTTAAAATCACATTTTAAATTGTTCGTATAAAAATCCACTGAAAATTTATATTGGAAAATTATACACTTCAGCTTTGCGTGGCTGTTCACGATACTTGAGTGATTTTCAGGTTTAACTTTCTATTCCTTCTATATTTGATTTTTTCTTTTTTTACTCACAGATACTCAACACACTGAAAATATAAAAATACTTTCACCTGGAAAGCTTTCCTGTCCTGTGCTGTGTAAATTACTTCTAGGAATAAATCATATGCTAGTCTATTAATCAGGAATGGAACTATTTGCTGCTTAATTATAGTCTTCTTTACAAATAGCCACAAAAGCTGTAACCAAAACTCACACAGTAGCAGCGTGTTAGCTGTATGTTACTAAGAGTTATGGCACGGATGGAAACATCTCTGAATGATTCTGAGAACTTAAAAAATCCTTTTGCTGTACCATTCAATGACGATTCATTCTATCATCTATTCATCATCTCTCCATTATCTACCCTCTACTATCTATCATCTATGTATCATCATCTATCTGCTGTCACCTATCACAGTCTATAATCTATTGATAATCTTTCTAAATATCTATCCTCTAGGTATCATTTATTTATCCATAATCTATCTATCAATCATCATCTATCTGTAATCTATCATCTTTATAAATATATATCTATCATCTATGTACCTATCATCTATCTATCTCTATCAATCTATCATCTATCTACCTCTATCTATCAATCATCCATCTATCTATCTATCTCTGCCTATCACTCTGTCATCTGTCTGAAGTAGATATTTGTTTTTCCTTTCAGACAAGGTCCTACTCTGTAGTGCAGGATGACCTCACACTCACAGCAAGCCTCTTGCTTCAGCCTCCCAAGTGCTAGGATTAGAGGCATGAGCCAACATGCCCAGCCAGACATTCCTATTTATGTATTAACTATTGTCTCTATCTAACATCCAAATGAGCTGAGACTTTTAGGATACTCTGTGTTTGATATATTATTATTACTGCTATAAATGGATGCATTCAAAAGTTAAATGTTGCATGTTAACACTTATTTATAAAAAGAATATGTATTTTTTAACTAGTGCTAAATACCAGAAGAAACTGAATTGTTGGGTGATTGAATTTACAGCATTTTTGCTGTGGAAATAAAGAGCTGGATCAGATTATCTCCGGGGAAATAGCATTGTTTTCTGAATTTCGTTTTTTAAATGAATTGTGTTCCTTAATGGAATGTAGAGCTTACCTTTATGTTTTTGCAAAGTTTCTTTTCTTTTGACCAACTTACTTAATATTTCATTCTTTTTCTTTTTCCAGAGAAACTTCGGACAGAGATGGGTAAGTCATCCTATCCGCACGTCCTCTTCCAGTAGCACCCTCCTGGAGGAGGGCGGAGCACATACAGCAGCCAGGACACTACAGGATCCCCAGGAGAAACTGAGGCAGGGCTTTCCCCAGTGCCAGCTAAGCTGGTGTAGGAACGGAATGGCAAACCTCAGACCTCCACGGCCTCCTTCAGGGAAGTTTCCCACATGTAACCTGCCATACTAAGGGCCACAGAGTTTCCACTGAGCCTCAGAGGGACCCCAAGAGGGGCATGGGCCTCATCATTGCTCTTAGGCCTAGAGGAAAGGGCTGCCTTCGGGGTGGGCGATGGTGGTGTGAGACAAACCGGCCACTCCTGGAGACCCTTTAAAAATATCCTGGTGTGAGGGAAGAGAGTGTCACCATGACAACTGGAGGTTGCGTCCCACCACTGCGACCCTCTAGCCCCTGTGCACCTGCTCCTCACCCCAGGAGGCTCCATCTTCCTGCTGTCAGGAGAAGGCTGTTACCTAACTGGGAGCAAGTGGGATCCCATTATGGGGATGATAATTTCTCCATTATTTTTGGAGTTTTCATTTATATTTATTTTATTTTAAGTTTGATAGGCTGCAGACATGGTCTCACTATGTGTAACATAAGTGTTTTAAAATAACCACCTGGTGTTGGGGCCCCTTTCAGTTTCTCTACCTCCTCCACCTGCCTTGTTCCTGTGGCCTCATATCCCAGCCACCGGCACCTGCTCCCTGCCAGATGCCCACAAGCCTGGATCACTCACTTCCCCCAAGTCAACACCCTGCTGTCCAGCCAGTTCCCTGTTCTGTTATGGAAGTGTGTGCTCTGTGTGTGTGCCCATATGCATGTATCTGTGTGTATGTCTGTGAATATGCATGCCTGTATGCATGTACCTGTGTATATGCATATGTGTGTGCACATGCACGCATGTGTGTATGAGCCTGTGTGTGCATGTACCTGTGTATGTCTATATGTATATATGAACTTGTGTGTACCTGTATATGTCTGTGTGTATGTATATGAGTCTGTGTGTGCCTGTGTTCATGTTTGAGTCTGTGTGCATGCTTGTGTCCGTGTGTGAGTCTGTGTGTGTGCCTTCGTGCATGGTAGGTGAGTTTCACCTCACCTTTCAGTTGTAGGAGTTTCTGGAGGAAAATCAGAGTTACGAACACACTCTAGTCTCTGCCAGAATCGAGTGTGACACCTTTGACCCCAATAAGTCATAATACAAAGAGAAGGAGGTTGAAGGTGGCCCTGCGGCCTTGGGAGAGAGACATGCCCCTTCCCAGTGGTCTCCTCCTCTTGGGGCAGACAGCGTGTCTTACAGGACAGAAAGCTTGGCAGTTTGTTAGCTGCAGAGCAAGAAGCCAGCCTGTGTGGGGCGGGCTGACCCAGGCCTGTGTGGGGCGGGCTGACACAAGTCTGTGTGGGGCAGGCTGACACAGGGCTGTGTGGGGCGGGCTGACACAGGGCTGTGTGGGGCGGGCTGACACGGGCCTGTGTCCCTCAGGAAGATTTTTGGTGAAAAGTCACTTATCTGAGTTATCCATGATGGCTCTTCATGCCCGCTTGAGACCAAGCACACAAATACAGCCGTGTGCTGTGCTCTTCCTAAGCTGGGGTGACCTTCAGGGATCACCTTCCTAAGTTGGGTGACTTTCTCAGATCACAATAAAACTTTCCTCCCTGTCAGGAGGGAGGGCAGCTCTGCTCCACGAGGATAGACCATGTCCTACAGTGACTGAAGGGCCCCGGGGTTCAACAGCTGCCTCCATGTCACCCTTAAAACTTAAGAGGCAGAGGAAAGATCCACACCAAGGGCAGCTGGCCAGCAGTTCTCAGCAACACAGCTCTTTCTCAGAGTTCCTATTCTGGCGCATGATTCTATTGCTTTGTAAAATATTATTTTAATCTGTTATACTGGCATGTCATTGCTTTACAGAAATTATTTTAAATTTTTTACAATAATTATAAGGGTTAATAGATATATCTTCATTTTATAGTTAGGAAACCATCTTAGAGACATAAGTGATCTAAAGAAATTCCAATTCTTGCTTTGTAATCCAGGCCTATCCAGTATTGCAAGTGTGTGCAATTCGTCATCTCAACAATGGTTATTATCCTTGTTTTCAAAGTTACCAAACTGAATTTAATCTCTAATATGGTGCTCAGTTCTAAGACATTTATCCTTTTCAAGGAATGAGACAGCCCACTTAATTAAACATATTGATTGAAAGGGGAATCATATCCTATAATGGTAAGATTATCATCTTTAAAGAGATTAATATGTAATTCAGTATACTTCTTGTTTCCAAGGTGACTTCAATTTTGAGAGGATATGCCGAAGGCACTTTAAGAACAAAAGCAACCTAAGCCAGTGAATTTGAGCATGAATTTCGTAAACTCAGTTTTGCAAAGATGTGGGCTGGGAACTCCCATCCAGGAAAAATACTACTTAACAAACAGAGCTACGGGATTGATCCAAGTGTTTAAACTTTTGAATCTGCACTTCATCTAATCGCATGAATCTCTGTTCTAATACGTGTTTCCACTGGTCCTCATTAAAATCAATGTCAGTGTCTTAATGACCAGCAAGGAAGCCAGCTTGAGAATCAATCCGTGTCACAGGTGGTCAAATCCTCACCTGGGTAACAGAGATACGAATACAGCCCGCTAAGGTAAACTAAGACATGTGGGTGGAAAATCAGTGAGTCCATCCCTGTGCAGCCTTCTGACTCCTACCCTAGTCTTCAGATTTTAACAGACGTGAGGACTGGAGATAATATTATTTTAGGAAAAACTGAAGGTCAAAACAAAAAGACACTGGAAATACCTGGGAATGAAAGTCTAGCCAGATACAAGGGAATGTATGAAATTAGAATTGTGTCTGCAGTGATGTGCTCTCTAGTCTGCTGATTTTGACTGGCAACATCTGGAGATAGTATACGTTTGGCTGCTGGATTCCATGCAGAGAATCTTCAGCTTCATGCCTGTATTTCTATTACAGACAACCACACATATATGAAATAGTTCTCACCATTTCATGGAAAAGGGAGAATCTCAATTTAGAATAGAGTGAATGTTGCATGACCAGGGCCTGATAAGACTCCAATGTGTTGTGTGCAGTCTAGATCCCAGGAGACCCCCAGAGAAAACCTCCACTCCCCACAGTGGGAAAACCCGACACCATCTGCACTTCTGTCATTGGGTCACATTTCATAGTTTTGCCAGTGTCCCCAGTTCTTGATCTTAAAATGTTTCCCAAGATTATTTGAGGACTCTAAAGTTGGCATTGTCGATAAACCCACAAATGTGAAACTTTGAGAGCATTAGATACAGCAGCTGAACCTGACTTAGACTAACTTGGGGTGGTTTCTTTCATTTCTATTACTAAGCATTCATCTTGCATTCATATTTAACTCCTCCCTGCGCTTAGGGAGTAGAACTGGTCTCGGTGCCCTCACGTCTCCAGGTGCTGCCTCTGCTCACACTGCATGGTCATTGAAGAGTTTTCATTCAGTACCACAGCCATCTTACAATTTTGGTAGTAATAAATTAATTTTACAGTTCAAAAAAGGCCAGGTATGGACAGATTAAGAAGTAATATGAAGTATGGCGCTGGAGAGATGGCTCAGAGAGATGTTAAGAGCACTGGCTGCTCTTGCAGAGAACCCTGGTTCAGTTTCCAGCACCCACATGGCGGCTAACAACGGTCCAGTTCCAGGGGATCCAACGCCTTCTTCTGACCTGTGTGGGCATTGTACAAAAGACACGGGTGCACTTACACACATGCAGACAATACACTCATACACATAAAATAAAAATAATAAATAAAATGAAGTAGTGTGTGGTCATCCATGCTCTTTCAAAGAACCCTGGTTCAGTTTCCAGCACCCCCATGGCGGCTAACAACGGTCCAGTTCCAGGGGATCCAACGCCTTCTTCTGACCTGTGTGGGCATTGTACAAAAGACACGGGTGCACTTACACACATGCAGACAATACACTCATACACATAAAATAAAAATAATAAATAAAATGAAGTAGTGTGATTTAACGTGATGAAATATTCATTTTATTCATTTTAT